CCCTGTGGTTTCTTAACGAAATGTGGATGTATTTTGACTGAAGCCGAGGTCAAGTATGCGGAGAGAGTTTAGCTTGCCAGGATTTAACCAATTTAGGGAGAACTGAGCTAGTTAATTGACCTCCATTGCACGCAGCAACACTTTAATTCAGGAAGAAGGAGCCTGGCCACGCTGCTCCCCCCTTCCTTCCCAACATGAATTAATTGCCTAATGGAATATTGTATTGAGCAATCAAGGTAATTATTCTGGCCTGGGTTCATGGCCAGCTAGGATGATGTGGTGGTGGCGGGGGGGGGGGGGGGGGGCGCCCCAGGCACCTTCCTCGCTGAGGTGGACCTTGTTAGGAGGAGGACAGTGGCTAGTTAATGCTGCTGCCTTGTTGAGAGGACAGTGGCTAGTTAATGCTGCTGCCTTGTTGAGAGGACAGTGGCTAGTTAATGCTGCTGCCTTGTTGAGAGGACAGTGGCTAGTTAATGCTGCTGCCTTGTTGAGAGGACAGTGGCTAGTTAATGGTGCCTTGTTGAGAGGAGGACAGTGGCTAGTTAACACTACCTTGTTGAGAGGAGGACAGTGGCTAGTTAACACTACCTTGTTGAGAGGAGGACAGTGGCTAGTTAACACTACCTTGTTGAGAGGAGGACAGTGGCTAGTCTGAGGCTTCCAGCAAGTGGCAGGGTACACAGTCTAGTTCTACATTATATATGGAGAGTCGTACCTGTGGACCCGTTCATGGTTAGGACAGGGCTTTTGATTTGCCTTTGAATATTTCAACTTCTAATTCAATTCAATATTATTTAATCGAGACGTGTTTGGCTTCTTCAGGGACATGATCTTCACGTATTATGGCAAGTGGGGTTAATGGGTTAATGGGTTAATGGCTAATGGCAAGAGATGGGTTAATGGTGTCCGTGGATCCGTAGTGTGATTTTTCCTGTCTTTGAGGTAATTATAGACCCACTAAAGTTACCCTCCACTCACCCTTTTTTTATCTTATTTTGAATATTTATACCTGGATATTTTGCCATAAAATCCATATTAATAATAAATATTAGAAACTTTTTACTTTATCAGATCTTTTGCACTACCACTAGACCACCATGACGTAAAATGTCACACAACCGGATTTTTACAGAAATCACAGGAAGTCTGTAGGCCCACTGAACAACCCGTTCTCGCACTTTCTTACAGTCAATATTGACTTATTAAATACGTGCATATGTGACATACTTAACATACTAGTTTACCTTGAAAAGCTTCATAGAAAACACCGACCTTACCTAACCTTCTTAGTATGTTAAGATAAGCATCTTATTGCTTCGTAATTACAATTATTACTTAACCTATTATAGGTATAGGTAATTACTTAACCTATACCTATTATACGTATAGGTAATTACTTAACCTATACCTATTATACGTATAGGTTAAGTAATAATTGTAATTACGAAGCAATAAGATGCTTATCTTAACATACTAAGAAGGTTAGGTAAGGTCGGTGTTTTCTATGAAGCTTTTCAAGGTAAACTAGTATGTTAAGTATGTCACATATGCACGTATTTAATAAGTCAATATTGACTATTCGAACGTGCGAGAACGGATTGTACTGAAGCCAGTTCAAGTGATTAAGTGTGACCCACAAACTCTTTGGTGGAAAGGCAGAGTGATCCCACACTTTACGCCCCAACTTCAGAAACACACAGAAATCACACTTACACAACCATTACACTAACACAACCATCACACTAACACAACCATCACACTTACATAAACATTACACTAACACAACCATCACACTTACACAACCATTACACTAACACAACCATCACACTAACACAACCATCACACTAACACAACCATTACACTAACACAACCATCACACTAACACAACCATTACACTAACACAACCATCACACTTACATAACCATTACACTAACACAACCATCACACTTACACAACCATTACACTAACACAACCATCACACTAACACAACCATCACACTAACACAACCATTACACTAACACAACCATTACACTAACACAACCATCACACTAACACAACCATTACACTAACACAACCATCACACTAACACAACCATTACACTAACACAACCATTAAACTAACACAACCATTATACTAACACAACCATCACACTAACACAACCATTACACTAACACAACCATTAAACTAACACAACCATCACACTAACACAACCATTACACTAACACAACCATCACACTAACACAACCATTACACTAACACAACCATCACACTTACACAACCATTACACTAACACAACCATTACACTAACACAACCATCACACTAACACAACCATTACACTAACACAACCATCACACTAACACAACCATTACACTAACACAACCATTACACTAACACAACCATTACACTAACACAACCATTACACTAACACAACCATTACACTAACACAACCATCACACTTACATAACCATTACACTAACACAACCATCACACTTACACAACCATTACACTAACACAACCATCACACTAACACAACCATCACACTAACACAACCATTACACTAACACAACCATCACACTAACACAACCATTACACTAACACAACCATTACACTAACACAACCATTACACTAACACAACCATCACACTAACACAACCATCACAGTAACACAACCATTACACTAACACAACCATTACACTAACACAACCATTACACTAACACAACCATTACACTAACACAACCATTACACTAACACAACCATTACACTAACACAACCATTACACTAACACAACCATTACACTAACACAACCATCACACTAACACAACCATTACACTAACACAACCATCACACTAACACAACCATCACACTAACACAACCATCACACTAACACAACCATCACACTAACACAACCATTACACTAACACAACCATTACACTAACACAACCATTACACTAACACAACCATCACACTTACACAACCATTACACTAACACAACCATCACACTAACACAACCATCACACTAACACAACCATTACACTAACACAACCATCACACTAACACAACCATCACACTAACACAACCATTACACTAAACCATTACACTAACACAACCATCACACTAACACAACCATTACACTAAACCATTACACTAACACAACCATCACACTAACACAACCATCACACTAACACAACCATTACACTAAACCATTACACTAACACAACCATCACACTAACACAACCATCACACTAACACAACCATCACACTAACACAACCATTACACTAACACAACCATTACACTAACACAACCATTAAACTAACACAACCATTACACTAACACAACCATTACACTAACACAACCATTAAACTAACACAACCATCACACTAACACAACCATTACACTAACACAACCATCACACTAACACAACCATTACACTAACACAACCATCACACTAACACAACCATTACACTAAACCATTACACTAACACAACCATCACACTAACACAACCATCACACTAACACAACCATCACACTAACACAACCATTACACTAACACAACCATTACACTAACACAACCATTAAACTAACACAACCATTACACTAACACAACCATTACACTAACACAACCATTAAACTAACACAACCATCACACTAACACAACCATTACACTAACACAACCATCACAGTAACACAACCATCACACTAACACAACCATCACACTAACACAACCATTACACTAACACAACCATCACAGTAACACAACCATCACACTAACACAACCATCACACTAACACAACCATTACACAGCGCTAGTGGATATTCTCATTGATTCATATCACGTTAGTGGGATTTCTATGTGCTAAGACAACTAACATTCAATGGATTAGCATAGATAACTGCCTCAGAGGTAAGATAAAGCTAATCACTTGATTACCAAACAAATTTTCCTGCAAGATCACATTAGGTTTGTGTGGTAATCTTCACCTGATGCAGTCTTCACCTAGTTCTTGCTCCTGACAGCTAGTATTAACAGGAATGTTTGTGTGGGGCAGCTAGCGCGGATCACCTTCATGTGTTAGCGAGCTCTGCCACCCTCGCTAATTGGAAGGGAACACAGCAGAGGCAGAGGAGGGAGTCGAACCATCCCAGCACGGGCCCTGCTGACTCGAACCATCCCAGAGTGGTCCGCAGAATTCCCCAAAGTCACCAAAAGTCTTAGAATTATGTAGCTAAAGAGGAAATATAACATATATGCTGACTGTAATATTGGTGCTGAATGTTGAACGTGAACAAAAATTGAATTCTGAAATAAGGTGATTTTATAGAGTAATAAGACCACAATCAGTGGTGAAGGAGGTGAAAGTCCGCGATGAGAGTGTGTTGTCGACTTCGACCTCTCCCATAATAATATGGGCTCCACCCTCCCATGAGCTGGTTCATGGTGCCTCCCCCAAACCACAGGGGGAAGCCCAGGCACCCCCCTGTACAGGGCAGGAGCTCCTGGCACCCCCCTGTACAGGGCAGGAGCTCCTGGCACCCCCCTGTACAGGGCAGGAGCTCCTGGCACCCCCCTGTACAGGGCAGGAGCTCCTGGCACCCCCCTGTACAGGGCAGGAGCTCCTGGCACCCCCCTCTACAGGGCAGGAGCTCCTGGCACCCCCCTCTACAGGGCAGGAGCTCCTGGCACCCCCCCCCCCTACAGGGCAGGAGCACATGGCACCCTCCTCTACAGGGCAGGAGCTCCTGGCACCCCTTCCTACAGGGCAGGAGCTCCAGGCACCCCCCCCCTACAGGGCAGGAGCACATGGCACCCCCCTGTACATGGCAGGAGCTCCTGGCACCCTCCCCGGCCACTAGCTCTCGCCTAATGCCAGTCATCACCCGCCCCAGTAAGATGAAATTACACCGGCGGAAGATCTTGGAGGCTGATTATTCCCGCGTGTGTTGTAAACTGGTGTTGGGGTCGAGGCGTATTATATGGTGATGAGCGGATCAGCGGAGGCTCTAGGCGTGGCCTGGCCGAGGCGTGGCCTGGCCGAGGCGTGGCTTGGGCGAGGCGTGGCCTGGCCGAGGCGTGGCCTGGGCGAGGCGTGGCTTGGGCGAGGCGTGGCCTGGCCGAGGCGTGGCCTGGGCGAGGCGTGACCTGGGCGAGGTGAGGCGTGGTCTGGGCGAGGCCTGGCCTGGGCGAGGCGTGGCCTGGCCGAGGCGTGGCCTGGACGAGGCGTGGCCTGGACGAGGCGTGATCTGGACGAGGCGTGGCCTGGACGAGGCGTGGTCTGGACGAGGCGTGGCCTGGGCGAGGCGTGGCCTGGGCGAGGCGTGGTCTGGACGAGGCGTGGTCTGGGCGAGGCGTGGCCTGGGCGAGGCGTGGTCTGGACGAGGCGTGGCCTGGGCGAGGCGTGACCTGGGCGAGGCGTGGCCTGGGCGAGGCGTGGCCTGGACGAGGCGTGGCCTGGGCGAGGCGTGGTCTGGACGAGGCGTGGCCTGGGCGAGGCGTGACCTGGGCGAGGCGTGGCCTGGGCGAGGCGTGGCCTGGGCGAGGCGTGGCCTGGCCGAGGCGTGGCGTTGCTACCTTAGGTGATACAGGCGGGCGCGGCCGCTTGCCTCTCCCCGCCTCTGTAAACAAGGATCAAAACACGCCCGACAGTTCTCCTCAACTTATTTCATAAATTTTGGCCCAGGTGGCGCTGAAGTTTAAATTTAGAAGTTGTGGGTCAGCGGCGCCGGGAGGAGGTAAACACAGCTGTTTCCTCAACAGGTTGGCTGCTGCTACTGCTGCTGCTGCTGCTGCTGCTACTGCTACTGCTGCTGCTGCTACTGCTGCTGCTGCTGCTGCTGCTACTGCTACTGCTGCTGCTACTGCTACTGCTACTGCTGCTGCTACTGCTGCTGCTGCTGCTGCTGCTGCTGCTGCTGCTGCTGGCAATAAAGTCTAAATATGTCATCAGTACACTCTCGGAGATGTGTCACTGTAGTTTGCATATGCACGAGACAAAATAAATTTAGAGTAACAGTGCGCAGGGATTGGCAGATGTCGTGGGCACCCCCACGACATCGGGGCGGTCGGGGGGTCCGATGTTTGGTCGGACATCCCCGTTTGTTTGGTCGGGGGGTCCGATGTCCGATGTCGGGGGGTCCGATTGAGGTCGGGGGCGGGGCTTGAGGTCCGGGGGGCGGGGCTTGGCGTCAGGGCAGGGCGAGGGGGGGGGAAGTGCTGGACGTCAGTCATTAATTAACGACATGAAAGCAGTTTGAAAAGTCTGCTCAAGTGACGTCCTGACATCGGTGAGTGATGAATGACAGCAGACAGTACACCTCTCACCAGTGGGGGGTCCCCCAGTCCTCTCACAGTACACCACTCACCAGTGGGGGTCCCCCAGTCCTCCCACAGTACACCACTCACCAGTGGGGGGTCCCCCAGTCCTCTCACAGTACACCACTCACCAGTGGGGGGTCCCCCAGTCCTCTCACAGTACACCACTCACCAGTGGGGGGTCCCCCAGTCCTCTCACAGTACACCACTCACCAGTGGGGGTCCCCCAGTCCTCTCACAGTACACCTCTCACCAGTGGGGGTCCCCCAGTCCTCTCACAGTACCCCTCTCACCAGTGGGGGTCCCCCAGTCCTCTCACAGTACCCCTCTCACCAGTGGGGGTCCCCCAGTCCTCTCACAGTACCCCTCTCACCAGTGGGGGTCCCCCAGTCCTCTCACAGTACACCTCTCACCAGTGGGGGTCCCCCAGTCCTCTCACAGTACACCTCTCACCAGTGGGGGTCCCCCAGTCCTCTCACAGTACACCTCTCACCAGTGGGGGTCCCCCAGTCCTCTCACAGTACCCCTCTCACCAGTGGGGTCCCCTGACACATCACACAGACCAAGGGAGAGGAGGGGGGTATGCTCTGCCAGATTAGGAATGACGCAAAAAAGGGGGAACAAGGCTGTTTGTGTCAGCACTGTTTAACTCCCCACAGTAATCTGAGACGAGAGAATATAATGGCATTATATGTGTCTACACAAGAGCATAATTTGACATAAGAATTATATAAACTGCAGAAGGATTATTGGCTCGTACGAGGTAGTTCCTATTTATATCCACCCAAACTCATTCCTATACGTGTCTAACCTACGGTTGAAACAATTCAGCGATCCCAACGTCAATTATGTTACTTGTGATTTTTGGAGCAAATTACCATCAGTCTTGTGGTACTTTCGCCCAAGTGGTTACTCTAAGAACTATCATTTAAGGAGGATGGGCTCACAAATCAATAATCCCGTTTCCAAACCAGTATTTACCCAGGTCTTTGTTGGATCTACACATATTTTTCGTGATATATTGTGTTTATATATTTCACACCTTGTTGATATCCTCTTTGTTATACTCTTTCATCGATATGCTTCAACTGTTATATCTTAGTCGTTTTCTTACTAGAGAATGTAAATGTTATTTTTTTTTTAATTTCTTCATAAGGAGGTTTTTAATTAGTGTGAATTAGAAACGCTTTCATGTGACTTTATAAATTGTGTAGTTCCGAGACCAATACTGTCCGGAAGACATTGACTAGTTAGGCAGAGTGGACGGGGGAGGGTGGGAGATACTGGTGGTAAGAGTACGTGGTGCTCTGTGAGAGCTGTGGGGGGTGCTCTGTGAGAGCTGTGGGGGGTGCTCTGTGAGAGCTGTGGGAGGTGCTCTGTGAGAGCTGTGGGAGGTGCTCTGTGAGAGCTGTGGGAGGTGCTCTGTGAGAGCTGTGGGGGGTGCTCTGTGAGAGCTGTGGGGGGTGCTCTGTGAGAGCTGTGGGGGGTGCTCTGTGAGAGCTGTGGGGGGTGCTCTATGAGAGCTGTGGGGGGTGCTCTGTGAGAGCTGTGGGAGGTGCCCTTTTATTCACTGGTTTATCTTGTATATTTTTTTTACTTCATCGCTGTCTTCTCTTCCTCATAATTTTCTCTTGTTACCTCAAAGTTCTCTGCTTCCTCCTCCTCCTCCGTCTCTTCTTCCCCCCTTCTCTTCCTCCTTCTCTTTCTCCTCAACTACCTTTTCCTCCTCCTTCCCTCATCATTCTTGCAGACAGCCAAGTGTTCAGTCCCAGGTATTAAGATGCCAGAGCCAAGATGGCGCCCAGTGTGCCAACTACCTGGGCCAGGGTAACTACCGTTCTCGTCGTCAATACAACCCGTCCTCCTAATAGAGCGCCTAATAGAGCGTCGCAGTTTGCCCTATGCTCTACCTAAAGCCAAAAATTGTCGTACTAGAAAATGGTCGCGAAATTGACGTACTGTTCCGTTTTCTGTTTTGGGTCCTCTGGTAGGTTAGAAGAGGACACGTTATTACGACAGTTTCTCGTTTCCTGTACGACATTGATCAGCCAAGGTCGGGCTGATTAATGTTACGGACAAGTTGATAACGCTTCGGGTCTCATAAACTCGTTAATAAATACATGTTCTGTCACCTTGTTTGAAAGAGAGAGAGACTGGCAAACTTTAGGTGCATTCCGAGGATATCCTCAAGTACACGAGAGGTAATAAAGTTATTACAAAACTCCAGGTAACTTTATACGGGCAGGTGTGAAGGATGTAATGACTTAGCATTCAGTAATATTGTGTGAGAGGTTCCTGCTCCCAGAGTTGACACCTAGAGTGTTCCGACAGTGGACTTGTATATTTTGGATGAAGGTTTTCTGGCCCAATCCATACAATAGCAAACTCGACAACGTCGATAATTCTCCCTGGGGAAATTTACTTTCCGTGACAGGGAAAAAAGACTTGAGAGAGAGACTTGACAGTTGCCGGGGCCGCGGCCCAACACGGCGTGGCACGGAGAGGACGCTAGGAATCTTAATTCAAGATTGACCCAAGAAAGAGAGGACTCGTAATATTTATGTTAGACCAGTTGCGAGAAGTTGTATAATTTGACTTGTTTTAAAAGTGAACTCTGAAGTCGCTTTTCAAACTTAAGAAAACTATTTTGTATGTGTCAAGTGAGAAGAATACACGCGATATATTAAGCGCGCACTGAGTGTAAATGTGTGTATATCTCTTTGCCTGTAAGTGTGTCTGTTTGTCCAAAGTTGGCGGTCAGAGGCTTAGAGCTAACCTCACCCAAATTTGCAGGGAGAATGGTCGGGGTTATGGGACGGACATAGGCTCATCCGGGTAGGCCCAAGTTAAATGCTTTAAGAGATACTAGCAATTATAAACAGACCATTTTCATGGAGTCAGGTGTAAAGTATGTGTGATCAACGTGGAGTTTAACACTGGCGGCCCCGCCTTCTCACACATGTGGCACTGTATGCCTCACTATCATGCCAGATGGGGGACTTTTTAGTGTAAACTGCTGCCTTATTGACTCTTGTGTTCTTGATATCATGATAATGTATCTAAAGTCTGCCAGCGTAGTCTACTGATCACATGGTGAGTCAGGTATTACTGACTACGGGAGTATTACAGAATACGGGAGATCAGGCATTTAGGTGAGTCAGTTATTACTCACCATCCTGTGTGATGGGGAGTTTTAGCATCACGTAGGTTTGTGTATTACCTAGTTGTGCTTGCGGCGGTTGAGCTCTGCTCTTTCGGCCCGCCTCTCAACTGTCAATCAACTGTTTCTACTACTACTACTTTTTTTTCAACACCCCCACACACACACCTCCAGGAAGCAGCCCGTGACAGCTGACTAACTCCCAGGTACCTATTTACTGCTAGGTAACAGGGGGCATAGGGTGAAAGAAACTCTGCCCATCGTTTCTCGTCGGTGCCCGGGATCGAACCCGGGACCACAGGATCATGTGCCCAGCGTTCTATCCGCTCGCCCACCGGCTCCCCTGTGTGTGTGTGTGTGTGTGTGTGTGTGTGTGTGTGTGTGTGTGTGTGTGTGTGTGTGTGTGTGTGTGTGTGCGTGCGTGCGTGCGTGCCTCATGGAAGCGTGTCAGCAGGAGAAGAGACAAGTCCACCAGCACCTTACCTCGTTATGGTTCAAGTGGTACACGGGACGTTGGACGGGCGCCACGTGTGTGGGGCCCAGAAGACGGTGCCTTTAGTGAAGATAAAGAGGTGCTGGCGGGGAAAAAACTTACAAATATGGAATATTTAGCAATGTTATGATAGGAGGCGGGCTGTCCGCCTTGCTGACCCGGTGTCTTGGTGGCTAAGCTAACCTCTCTCTCTTATCAGGAAGCTTCGAGTATTTGTGTGTTGGTTTCATATATATCAGCACTTAGGGGAGAGGGGGACCCGGCGATACCCGGGACTGTGTCTCCCCCTCACTCTCTATTCCACCCCTCTTCTTTTCCGCCCTCCTTCACGCCGTCACCCTTATCTTCCTTTCCTCCTTCCTCCTCCTTCTCCCATGGAGCCTCCAACAGTCAGGTGTCTCCCTCCTCTTCCCCATCGTCCCCTCGACCCTCCTCCTCCTCCTCCTTCCTATCCCCTTAGTTCCCTTCTTCCCGTTTTCTTCCTTCTCTCAGAATGCGGGAGATTTTTTTTATTAACACATTTAGGTGCATTTCTGCAGCTACCCCTAGACTATATGAAATGGCGTAGTTCCCCCCCCCCCCCACACACACACACACACACACACACACCCCCACACACACACACACACACACACACACACACACACACACACACACACACACACACACACACACACACACACACACACACACACACAAATGCATTACGAGAGCACCAGAGCCGAAGTACGAGAATGACAAAGCACCCAAAGACAAGGACCACCCTCGACTGTTCCATAACCTCATCGTGATAGTTATATCTGCGAATAACTAGGTGATCAGGCTACGGGAGGTAGTTAAGACACACACCTAACTACGTACTCTGCAAATTTGTCGACCAAAAGTTTCCAAAAATTTTAGAGCCTTAGAACAGACCTCTTATTTTCCAGACGAGTACGAAAGTAAAAATTCTGTTATCGCTTCGAGTAACTACAACCCCCCGATCAACGTGGTCTATATCAACGTGATGAACTACCAGGAAGTTGTAATGTTCTTGACCAAAGCTTAGGTAAAATACCTGTTTAAAATACTACCCATTTTGAGAAAATTGTAGCCCCCCCCCCACCCCCCCCCCAGGCACTCCCAATTTCCTATGTTAGTTGACGGTTAATGTGTAATGTTGTATTAGCTGATTATATATATATATATATATATATATATATATATATATATATATATATATATATATATATATATATGGGGAGTACCACCTCTGGTGCAATTATAGGGACCCACAGAGCATTCAGGGAAAAACTTGCCATTTAACTCTGAATACGTAAGAGTGTTCGCTTCTCCTACCACCCCCCTTTTTTTTGACAGGTGTGACGGGAGAACAATGAACAGACAGATGTGACGGGAGAACAATGAACAGACAGGTGTAAAGTGCGTGAGAAGATGAGAGACGCCTTTGTTCTCATCCACGAAGAACCAGAATTTAATCTCGTTTGAAAGCTGTGCATTTTACCTCGGGAGTTTTGTTGGTGGGAGCCAGACGGTGCATGACGGGGCTAGAGTGTCTTCCTTGGTGTAGGGAGGTGTAGGGGGTGTAGGGGTGTATGGGGTGTGTAGGGGGTGTAGGGGAGTGTAGGGGAGTGTAGGGGGAGTGTAGTGGTGTGTAGGGGGAGTGTAGGGGGAGGTAAGCCAGGTTGTAAAGGGGGTGGGAGATGCAAAGTGGAAGGAAATACAGGTGTGTGCAGGGGAGTGGGAGGGAGCATTGTGTTGGTCACAGATGTGGTGTGTGTACAGAAGGCACATCGGTGCTTTGCCTAGAAGAATACGTTCCAGCTCTTGGGGGGCTCCTTATCTAAGATGTATATCATTGATGAATTTTAAATCTCTTGACGTAAGAGTTCAGTGTCATGTTTAATTGGCCCCTTGAAGCTTCGTAAGGAACCTCAGTGATTTCTTGCGTTAGTGTTCCAACTGTTGGTCGAGTGGTTACCGTGTCAGGCGTTAGGCATCTCTTCAATTTGTCTTTCTAGCTTCCTGAGCTCTAACTGTTTCAACTTTTGTGTTTCTAACTTCCTGTTTCTATCCTCGTGTCCTGTTTCCTCGTGCTGAAAGAGGCCGCCCATGTCAACAACCCCCCGCCCCCCCCCACTCCCGTCAGATAGGCCGTGGTGACGGTTTATTAAAGCTAAAGAGAACAATTGTTCTCCATTAAGATAAAAAAAAAAGTTTCACCATCAAATATAAAACACAGTAAAAAAAAGGGGGTGGGGGGGGGATTTATGACATCAAATCTCTGTGTTCCATTGTGGCACTAATGTGGCACTAATGTGGCACTAATACGTGTGGCGTGTTTCCTGGCGGGCCGTGGCACTCTGGCACTGTCTTCAGAGGATCGAATTCAATGATAGTTATGCTGGTTCCAGGATCATAGTCTAACTCAGTACTGTTACAATGGCGAACTTCTGGATCATTAGTCATTTGTTCCAGGGGACAGTCAGGTCGTTTAGTTCCATGAACCATCAGGCTGTTCTACAGTACCGTTGAACTCTCGAGTTACCGCCGTTATTAGGCTTTCTGGCCTTAGAACCGTTAGGCTAATTTGTTCCAGGAACCATTAGGCTTTGTTCCAGGAACCATTAGGCTTTGTTCCAGGAACCATTAGGCTGTCTTGTTCCAGGAACCATTAGGCTGTATTGTTCCAGGAACCATTAGGTTGTATTGTTCCAGGAACCATTAGGTTGTATTGTTCCAGGAACCATTAGGTTGTATTGTTCCGGGAACCATCAGGCTATATTGTTCCAGGAACCATTAGGCTGTATTCACCTCATTGCGGGGGATTGAACTTGGACTAGTAAGAGTGAGGGAGGTGTTACCGTGGAGACTGTCAGCCGGCTGCAGGCCGGAAACTAACGAGTAAAAAGCCAAGGTAAATGGTCAGTGCGTGAGCTTGAACAAGTTCTAACAGAGAACTTTGCATTAAAGGCGAGGTAAAGTTTGCTGGAGAAGGGGGTCGAGGCAGTGTTGTAAAGCCGGCGTGGCAGGTTGAGAGGAGGACCAGTCGATCAAAGGAGTTGGGGGCATCTTAAAGCGGGTCTTGCAAGCGTCTTGTAAGACCCGGTGGTTGTGGGGAGGGAGGGAAGAGGGGGCCCGAGTAACAACTTGAGCCTCCAGACCCTGAGAAGATGAGGCCATCCAGCAACAAGTTCTGCAAGATGAACGACCAGGAACTCCAGTTTGACGAGACGTACTTCCCAGACTACAGCGGAGTATCAGGTGAGTCTTGCAGGCTACCTTCACCCTTGTGTCACCTGGCCACAAGGGCGGCCGGTGCCGAGGAAGGTCCGTCTTGAGAGACGGGGGCTGGGCTGGGGGGTATTGATTGCATGGTATACAAGTGTGAGGGGAGGGGGGGGAGGGGGTGAGGGTGATTACTGCCACTAATGAATGAGGTTGTTACGGGGGTTTTAGTGTGTTTTAAATGGTGGTTGTGTAACTAATCCCTGAACCATGGCCAATATGTTACCTGGAGAGTGATTAGTTCCCTCGCAGACAGGCAGGGAACTCCTCGCCCAGCTGATCCATAGTTTACTGGAGTCCTTTCTGACCTTCCCAGCAGGCGGGCCCCACCAGGGGGGTGACACACTGGGGGGTGACACACTGGGGGGTGACACACTGGGGGGTGACACACTATGGGTGACACACTGGGGGGTAACACACTGGGGGTGACACACTGGGGGGTGACACACTAGGGGGTGACACACTAGGGGGTGACACACTGGGGGGTGACACACTAGGGGGTGACACACTAGGGGGTGACACACTGGGGTGACACACTAGGGGTGACACACTGAGGGGTAACACACTGGGGGTGACACACTAGGGGTGACACACTAGGGGGTGACACACTAGGGGGTGACACACTGGGGGGTGACACACTAGGGGTGACACACTAGGGGTGACACACTAGGGGTGACACACTGGGGTGACACACTAGGGGGTGACACACTGGGGGTGACACACTAGGGGGTGACACACTGGGGTGACACACTAGGGGTGACACACTGAGGGGTAACACACTGGGGGTGACACACTAGGGGTGACACACTAGGGGGTGACACACTAGGGGGTGACACACTGGGGGGTGACACACTAGGGGTGACACACTAGGGGGGACACACTGGGGGTGACACACTGGGGTGACACACTAGGGGGGACACACTGGGGGGTGACACACTAGGGGTGACACACTGGGGGTGACACACTAGGGGGGACACACTAGGGGTGACACACTGGGGGGTGACACACTAGGGGTGACACACTGGGGGGTGACACACTAGGGGGTGACACACTATGGGTGACACACTGGGGTGACACACTGAGGGGTAACACACTGGGGGTGACACACTAGGGGTGACACACTAGGGGGTGACACACTAGGGGGTGACACACTAGGGGTGACACACTAGGGGTGACACACTAGGGGTGACACACTAGGGGTGGGGGAACACAATACACTAGGAAGTCTGACGAAGAACTAAGCCCTCCAAATCCTTACAGAGCAAGCTGAACATCAGTTAATCAAATGGACCCACTACAACATGCCCAACCAACTGAAGCAAACCATTAACAGTGAACTATCAAGCCTAAAACTACAACACGAAACGCACGTCGAAACGAGGACACTCCGGAAGCTGACAGCCCTCAAGGGGGGACAGTTAAAACCCCCCCTCGTCCAAAAGTCGGCTACATAAACCATACATACTCGGCTACATACATACGGCTACATACATACATACATACGGCTACATACATACATACGGCTACATACTCATGATCTGAGCCAGGACCAACGAGACCTCTTGAATCTTGGCCTAAACTGCCAATTCATATCAAGACCTAAGAAGCATCAAAAACGCTTTGAATTCGAAATGCTTCTGGACGACATCCATAAGTTAGAAGACAACACAAAAGTCATCACCACTGACACACTTCAGACTGAACTACTAACAGAAGCGGAGAAAAAAACGAGGAATATACTCATCAACAATCTTAACCCCACGACTCAAAGAAGCAGCAAAAAAATAATAAAATTGAAAGATGTAACAGTAAGAAAAGCCGACAAGACAGCAGCATATGCAGATTCCTACCCAAGAATACATGAACAAAATTAGCGACATCCTTAGTGATGACACCAAATTTCAACGAATCACGAGGAACTATTAGTGCAATCAACGCATAGAAAGGTAGTGTGCATTTCAGTAAACTCCAAGGCGACTATGGTTTAGGATATGCTTATGGCAATGTTAAGACACAAACCAGGTAACCCACTACGCCCAATATATATATATATATATATATATATATATATATATATATATATATATATATATATATATATATATATATATATATATATTTTGGTAGCAGTCTTTCCTGTAGACATATATTATTAAATATGACCGAAAAAGTAAGATTAATAATTCTAACACGAATTTTCTCAATCTTTCGTACATTACGCTTCACTGTTGGAGGTAAATCAAAAATCAATTCTCCAAAATTCATTTTTATTTCTAGTCTGACGCGACTAGACGCGACTGACGCGATCATAAGAAGGAAAGTGAAAAGCCATGCAACCTCTGAAGAGACAACTAACACAACACCTATACCCCCTATTAGACTATTTTACAGGAACTTCTTTTCCACAGCTCATAAAACGGAGGAAAGGGTCCTGAAAGATATTGTTAATAGAAACGTTATCCCTACAGACAAAAATCAGAGGATACAACTGACGATTTACTATAAAACCAGAAAAACGGCCAGCCTACTCATGAGAAACTCTCCAGACACAAAACAGAACGCTTTAAAAGAGACTAACGTCGTCTATGCCTTCAAATGCCCACTTGGGGACTGTAAGCTCCAAAAAACCCAGTATATAGGCAAGACAACAACATCTCTTTCTAGGCGTTTAACGATGCATAAGCAACAGGGCTCCATTAAGGAACATATAATCTCTTCCCACAACCAAACCATCGCCAGAGAAATCCTAGTAAACAACACAGAAATCATCGATAGATACAGCGATAGCAGGCGGCTTGACGTTTGCGAGGCACTACACATCAAGAAGTCAACACCAGCAATCAACAGCCAATTATTGCATAACTATATTCTACCCACCTCAAGACTCCGCTCCAATATAGAAGCATCAAGAAATATGGACCAATAGGCTTTCTACAAACACTTCTATTCAATATCCATTGTTTCGTGTTCTGTCTTGTGTTGATACTTTTAATACCCTATTAATATTCCCTATTGTTCTGTCTTGTGTTAATGCCACATCACCCTTCCCACCTCACTCAAATGTAGATATAAAATCAGAGAAACGCAAGTTCTAATCAGTTGTGTATTTGTGAAGTCTTTGAAAATGTAATAAGTTTTACGAAACGCGCCCGTGTCGCGTCAGACTAGAAATAAAAATGAATTTTGGAGAAGTGATTTTTGATTTACCTCCAACAGTGAAGCGTAATGTACGAAAGATTGAGAAAATTCGTGTTAGAATTATTAATCTTACTTTTTCGGTCATATTTAATAATATATATATATATATATATATATATATATATATATATATATATATATATATATATATATATATATATATATATAATATATTTTTTCTATTGTACCTGCCCGCCATCTGAGGAGCTGGAGGAGCTGTACAACTTGTGACAACAAGTAGTCTTGTACCCTGCATGTAACCAATGTTGTAACCCTTTTTGTGTAATGACATTTTAAATAAAGTTAGATATACATACATACACACACACACTAAAAGAATAGGGGTGGTAGGGGAAGAAAATATCAAAGTGTTCAGTGAGGATCCACAAGGTCTTCTCTGAGTACTCATTATTTTCTTCTCCTAAGCTATGGGTCCCTACACTTGCACCAGAGGTGGTACACCTTTTAGGTATATATATATATATATATATATATATATATATATATATATATATATATATATATATATATATATATATATATATATATATATATATATATTGGCCTCGGGCCGGGCTTGGGGAGTTAAAGGACTCCAGGAACCCCTTGGGGAGTTAGAGGACTCCAG